CAAAGCTCATGGGGACAAAATTTTGAAGAAAATACCACAACTTCGGCAAACAAAGGTTAACTACTATCTGTGGCTCTCATTCAATACAACAAGAAACAGAAAAATTTGGCTACTTTCTGTGGATTTTTTTCATGCTTTAAATCAAGAATTGGCATTTTGTTCCTTCTTTGAGGGGGTTCATAAATTAGACCCACCTGCATTTCTGGAGCTTAATTAACAAAATTTACTAGCCATTTTTTCCAGATCAAGTGCAATATTTACTTGTAACCTGTGAATACTTTTTGAAGCAGAGAGTGGGTCACCATTTATTGTTTTTCTCAATTATCAAATTTCTTGGCTGATTTCCCTTTTTTGCAAAAATGCCCAACTGCTTGTCAGACTGTGTTGGAGAGAATTAAACCTTGTGCAGCGAAGTCAGAATATTTTTGAAAACTTTTGAGCACTGAAATTTTTTTTTTCGCCCCAAGGCCTAAGTTGGGAGAAGGTCAAACTTTTTTTTACTTCTGCAGAAAAGCGTAACTCAAAGAAAAATACTGTGCCTCACTGGATGGTATTTTTTCTGGCATTTATTTCTAGCAAAGAATTATCATTAAAGATTTTCAAAAAACGGATTCACCCTTCCAGGATTTTTCAAGAATTAGGCAGCCTTCTTGACCCTGGCAAATTTCAGTGAAAAAGGGTCAAACTCATATGTGCCTGTGTGCCAAAAGCATCTGAACTTTGCCTCAGTATGATGGAAACAATGCCGTTGCCATCCATTGGTTAATGCATTTGGGAAAAACCCTCATTGAAGGTTTTCCCTCCTCTCTGAACTTGTATTTCAATTAAACAACAGCCTTCAAGCAATTTTAATTTTTCAGGATCAATGCTCTATTTTTATCAATTTTTTTGTTTACTTATTTTTACAAATTTGCATTTGGATTTTGATTTGCGCACAATGTCATTTTATTCACTTGTTCGGTGTTTTTGTGCTCCTCATTGTAAATTGTGTCATTTCTCTATGCCATCAAGACACAATGAATCATGTTGGAAAAAACTATGAGCAAGTATTTGAGGTCTCCCCTTGAATGTACAGGCATGCTCTTGACTGCAAACCTGCAGGTGGTTTTTTTTTTCACTGTGTCTTTCTCATCCATTCTTCTGCTGATACCCAACACTTCATGGCTGTTTATAAAGGCTGAATACTCTCCTTTTAAATGAACATAGTTGCATGAATATGCATTGAATTTATTTTCAACAACAACAAAAAACTGAGAAGATATATCTTATACACAAAATTTCGAAACAAGTGACACACAGGGGAGAGAAAACGGTGTTGATGAGCCAGAACACGTCCCAAGTGCTGGTGACACAATTGACGGATATATATGTGAAAAAAGTGTTTTTGCAAAACAAAAACAAAAAATTCCCTTCAGCACTGTCACGAAGATGGATCAGGTAGGAAATGAGGCGGTAAACTGCGATGAGAGGGGAGGAAGACTAAATTACCAGTTTGTGACAAAAGAGCAGTTAATGTCTGCTGAACCCATGATGAAAGGATGGCGCCGCGTTTTCGGCGTAATTGTTATGATTATTTTCGACCCTTCTTCCTTTAACGAGGCTTTTTGCGCGTAATTACCTGAGTAATTTAGCCGCAACACTGCGGTTTAAAAATTTTTTTTTTCTTATGGTGTAAAAGAGCTTCTTTGAGCCTTGTTCTGTCACTTATTCTAAGACGTGATATACACTTGATCCGCAGGCGATCGTTATATGCAAAATATTCGTGTAAACCATTTTTTGTGAGATTTCAATTGAAAAATGGAAATTAGCTAATCCCAGACCTCACGAAAAAACCGTTAAAACCTCAAAAAGTGTGCTTTTAAAGAAGAAATTAAGCCTTTAAAATATATTCATGTAAAATTCGGGTAATCTGGATGGTTCTGAGCTCTTAAAATTATGGAATTCATAAATTTTCGAGAAACTTCTACATAATTTAAAAGGCAAATTATATACCCAGCATACACTGTCTTGCCTTTATTTTTGGAAAACTTCAGAAATTTTTCTCAAATCCCTCAAAATTTTTAAATAAAAATTTTTAATTATTTTTATTAAATTATTTGTGCTGTAATAGCTGTAAATAAACCATTACTAAATATTTCAGGTCGCACGAAATTAGCAAAATACCTCAAAAGCGGTGTATTCTAACGTAAAATTCTGCATTCTATTACTTTCAAATAATTATTCTGACATATAAATGGGCTTTGAAATTTCTGAACTTTCTGCATTTTCTAGAAAATTCTGTTTAAAAATACAAAACCACATTGATATTCTCTCTTGTCTTCAGTTTTGGAAAAAATCTAAGATTTTCACTATAACCTAGCTCACATTTAAGTACTGTGCGGAATTTTCTCGCGGTCCCTCTATGAAACAAGGCGCCAAATTGGAGCCGAAACTGTAATCCAATCGGCGCATCACCGGGACACGCTGACACAAACGAAAGTTAAAACCAATTCCCGCGAAAGGGGTATCCTAAAATAAAACGCGTTTGTGCGGAATTTTCTCGCGGTCCCTCTATGAAACAAGGCGCCAAATTGGAGCCGAAACTGTAATCCAATCGGCGCATCACCGGGACGCGCCGACACAAACAAAAGTTAAAACCGATTCCCGCGAAAGGGGTATCCTAAAATAAAACGCGAAACGAATTGGCGAAACAAAGACCCCGAGGCCAAAAAAGGAGAGCGATCCCCGGAAACGGGATAAAACAAATCGCCGAAAAAGTCGGCGCCACCCTTTTTGACAGGGGGACATCGACTCCTCTAAAAACGCGGGGTCATTCGTACAAAGACCCCGAGGCCAAAAAAGGAGAGCGATCCCCGGAAACGGGATAAAACAAATCGCCGAAAAAGTCGGCGCCACCCTTTTTGACAGGGGGACATCGACTCCTCTAAAAACGCGGGGTCATTCGACCCCTCAAGACTTCGCGAAAACACAAAACCAGCTGTCAAGAAGAAGACGAAAAATCTCGTCTCTTGTATCGTAAAGCAATTTGTCTCCCGAATTCGGGACGTTTCAAACTGTCAAAACTCGAGCTTCGAAATGCTCGACTGGCAACTTTACAATCTTAACAGCCTTTTCGCAAACTGTCAAGACCCATGTTTTCCAGCAGAAAACTAATTTAACAAACGGCTGGAAGATCGTAAAAACCAACCACCCGGTTTTCGGGAAAACACACATTTATGAAACCTTTACGAAAACAGCAGATGCCACCACCTGGTGTTTTCAAATTTGCGCAAACAAGGAAAGACCCGCCAAAATCGGCGCAAAATCATATATAAACCCCAGAAAATTGGGTAACAGACACAGTCAAGTTTCTTTACGAAAACAGCAGATGCCACCACCTGGTGTTTTCAAATTTGCGCAAACAAGGAAAGACCCGCCAAAATCGGCGCAAAATCATATATAAACCCCAGAAAATTGGGTAACACAGACAGTCAAGTTTAGAAGGTCGAACTGCTGAAGTTGTGTTCTAAAAATTCGGAATTCGGGACTTAGAAAATTCTATACCATCAGGGCGATTTCGAAACATCGCGAAATCTAAAAGGCGTCGGTACTTTGCTCTTTACCTACGGTTCTTCAACCCCCCTTTTTTTTGTTTGTTAAGATCGGGACTCGTTTTCTTACTTTATTCTCAACGCCGTGTGTGAATACCTTGTTTAAATCGGGACGTGATCCAGTTACGAGATTCTAATTGTAAAGGAAATCAAGTCCACTTCTGGACTACTTGAAATCCTGCGAGGCCAATTATTGCTCATTGTTGCGAATCTTGTACATCTGAGTGTGTATTCCTTGTATCTTGTGCAAACTGTGTGTATAAGTTAACAAGTGTGTGTGTGTGTGTGTATCAAAGAAAGGTCTGCGCTAGTAGGGAGAAATCCCGGTCGGTTCGCGCCCGGCCAATTGCCGTGTTCTAATTTATTTTCTCATCTGTCTTGAAAACTCTGCTAAAAATCCGTAATCAAGGTGTAAGGCTTGATCAATCTAATTCTGACTAGTAAAACCTTACATAATGCAGTTGCCCGGGTTGCCTATTTCCTGGCCATTGTAAAAGAAGAGTGTGTCTACATGCAGAGAATGTTCAGTATAGAAAGGCGTGCATCGAGAGATTTTTGCGAATTTTTGCTCAATTCTGAATAGATACGAAAATGAAAACTTTATTTTTCCAGCATCCGAGTCCCACGAGAGTCGAGCTATAAAAACAGAAAAAGCCCTTTAGTACGCTTTACTCCTCCTCTATTACCTCCATTTTTTTTAATTTACCTGAAGAAAAAAAGCTGTTGTTTGTAATTTGAAATGTCCCGTTACGCTTAGATATACAGTACCTAATGTGCAAGAACTTCGAGTAAAAGAAAATAATATAAAGATAAGTTCAACATGATGGGAATCCGACAGTCCGTCATCACGAAAATGTGATGGACACTCAAAAAATGCAGGGGACCAGAAAAATTCATTGAGGAAAGAATTTCGTTGAACAGAACCAGCATAACATGGGGCGAGAACCCTATGGGACCGAAAAACTGTTCGTCATACAGAGAATATCGTTGTAGACGACTTTTTTGTAGAGTCCACCTGTAATTATAACTTGCTTGAGAATCAGGAGAAAGAAAAAATCCGCTTCTCATATACAGTATTTAAAAAAAAAAACAGATCTGTGAATCTGTGAATTTTATGTATCGTGAATTTTGATAGGATGTTCGGCAATTATGCGTCGGGTCATTGTTGAATACTTTTTCTCCTTTTCTTGTATATTCAGTATTTTTATAGAACCCATGAATGTTTAATTACACGGGGGAAAAAACATTGAAAATTCGTTAGAAATTTCAATCTTCCATCCAAAAATTTCTGGTTCTACCGTATTTTGCACGCATAAATTTTTCACTGGCGTATTTCAAAGTGAAAGATTATCTATTTCGGGATTTTTGTTTTATATTTCGCAGATTTTTGGTGGAAACAGAAACACCTACATGACGGAAAAACGGGAATTGGATCCTCCAGTGGTTGCTTCCATTGTGCGCATCGTTCCGCACACTTTTCACCATCGCACCGTTTGCATGAGGATCGAATTATACGGATGCCCCTTTTCAGGTATGTTTTCAAATTACTTTTTTCCTTTTGTGAAAACTGTATTTCACACGAAGAATCCCAGCCTCGTTTTTCATTGCCCTAAAATAATAAGTGAAACTTCGCCCTCACGGCGATAGACGATGTGTCAAAATTTTCTGGGAAATGATACAAAAGATTTTGAGGCATATATGAGAAGAGGAATAATTGTTCGCATTGAAGAAATAAAATTAAAATTTGAATATTCAGGCAAGAGAAGAGAATTTTCTTTGGTCGCCTGGAACAAACCCCGACGGCTTGCGATAACTTTCAGATCACATAATGGAGAAGAAAACTTTTGGAGTCATCGAGCCACCATGAAAGATGCTTTTTATACAGTTTGTTCTAGAGAAAAAAAAAAGCATGTACGTACTGCAGCTGCACTTAGGAACTTGAGAAAAAAGCTTTTATAAACTTTGGGAAAAGATACAACTTCCGTCATTAGCCTCGTCGCTGATCGTAGTAACGTGTCATATTTTACATTATAAAAGTACGACACCCGCCGTTTACGCTGTGGAATCATTTTGGAATCTCGATTTGCCCACGGGATCGACGGCAATAAAGCCTGAATAGCTTTTATTGAGACCCGTTTCTACAAGTTCAACTCTTGACGATATGATGCATATTTCGAAGTTACAGAGAAAAGCATGCAGATGTCTTTTTCTTCTAACAATAAAATTCCACAACAACAACAAAAAGAATACTCCACAAAAAAATAAGGAATGGTACCTCAAGCGATATGCAAATCCGGTCCCACTTGCCGTAAAATTTGAAAATCGCGCGATCTGCTAAGATGTGGGTGCAATAAACCTGCAAATACACAACATCCAATGGATTGAATAATGCATACTAATCTTGGAAGCAGAATGGAACGTACGATCTTCAAAATCTAAATCTCCTGCCGGGGGAAATATATGCATGACTGTACGAGTATAAAAAGTACAATCGTAATATTCATGTGAATCATCAAACGCGTATTTGTTCATATTTTCAGAGGAAATCGAATCGACGAATTTCTGCAAGATAACTCGGTTTTGCTAGTTGATGACGAGATGAGGGTCTCCTATAAATTATACGCAGTGGCCGAAAACATCGTGATTAATCTACTAATTGTTCAGCCAAGTGAAATTTTAATTTTTTCTATCAATTTCTCATACACAGTGTCGTCTAGAAAGCGCAAAATGAGTAAATTTTCTTTATAGTGATTCCAGACAAACTAATACTTCCCTGAATGCGTTTAGTTACGCGGAATTTTAGTAATGCGAAACACGTTTTCCATCAAGATTACATTTAAAGAAATTCATTCTTCTCGTCATAAACTTTACAAAAAAACATAATATAACCATATTTTGCATTTTTCAGCATGAAGTATTCAATTTAACATGTATTGATTCGTTTGAAATTGAATTGTTTCGTCTGCTAAGTTTGAGCTCTTGAACTTCTCAATTTCATGAATTTTGAAGAAAAGGGCAAGTAAAACTATGTGAATCTTTTCTCATTACCTTCAATTTTTCAATAACAAAAATCGGAAGTTCCAACTCCAAATTTGATGATATTTTCGCGTCTTTCGGCCTCAAAATTTCGTCAAAAGGGACAATTTTTTATTTGAGTCACTTTTTTTCACCCCTGAATATTCCGCCTTAATATGAAAGTTTAGACGAAAATATTAGAGCGGTACCTTGTCTGGTTTGACCCAATCGTCTTGTTTTCATTTTCAAGGTGAAATTGAGTCGTATATAGTGCCGGTGTCACAGGATGAGTTGCTTTTCGAAGCCAGTCCATTGAGGCTCGGGGACGACAGCTACGATGGACTCAGATCACCAGGAAAATCATCAGATGTCTTCAAGATTGCTGGTGCTGCTGATGAAATTCTGGAAGCAGGTCTAGGACAGCTCACTGACGGCATCTATGGAGTTGAGGATGTAACTACGGACATGGGTTCGTCCATTTTCCTATTCCATATTTCTTTCGTTAAAAAGCCATAACGGATATAAAACCGTATTTGAAAAAAAATATAAATTCCCCTTACTCCGTCATAAGCTGAAGGAATGAACGTAATTGAAAAACAGATTTTAGCGTCTTTCAGTCACGAATAATGGTTCATTATTTTGTGATGATGATACTGTAATTCGTGCTTAGTGGTTTGCACTTCGAAGAGCTAGAACATGCAGTTTTTGGCACGTGCTTTTTTGAAGCCTTGTTTTGCAAAGCTCCTCTCGTTCTGTATGGTTACATTTTTATATGACCCCCCCCCCCCCCCAAGAATAATTTAAAGTGCAATAATCATCAAATAAAAAGAAAATGTTTCACTTTCTGAAATACGTTTTTATGAGTTATTATGGGGATCTAATTAGGGTTCATTTGATTCCCGAGTAGACTAAAATTCACTTTTTTTTAGTTGAAGACTGGAGGTATTTAACTGTCCCGTGATATGTAGAGAAATGTTATGTTTTTTCCGCTGAAAGGTAAAAATATAGTTCGACGTCTAGCCAATTTTTTTCCACCCTGTATCAGTCGCAACATCCATCCATATGACAGCGTCTTTGGTTGTTGTTCCTCTGACGCTCATTACTCTGGAACGACCGAATGTGACTCAAGGTTAGATCATAAATAATGAAGCTGCTTTCATACTCGACGCTTTCTTAGGATTAAGACCTGGTCACGTAGTAAATAAGGTCCTTGATATATCTGAGCACACGGACTTCGGGATAAGCCGAATAATCCTCCAGGCTGTCGTGTGAAATACATATTTGTCATCTTGGGAGAAACGACCGGGAATTTTCCGTGAAATTGCAGACATTCTTGGGGGGGGGGGGCAGGAAAAATCAGGATCCGTAATTTTGCCGTTGTTATCATATATAGGCATCGCCAGAATTCAAATTAACTTTTTTTTCATTGAATTAATTGGGGTATTTTTCTTTTACGTATAATTTTACTTGGTTTTAGTAATTTTAAACTACATTTTAAGTTAGTTAGGGTAGTGATTCAGGCGACACCTGTCTTCCATTCCAGGATTCAAGGCATGTCAGGGATGCAATACAAAAATTGAAGGATAATGAAAGTTATTCCTGGAATTGAACACTGTACTGTACCTAGAATACCCCATATATGGGCTTCCACGAAATTTAGTAAAATTGGCTTTGTTCGAAATTTGAAATTGGGTTGATATAAAAAAAATGATGATTTTTACAGAGTTGTTGCTCGTGGATCATTTCACAGCGCGTTACGCAAAAGTGAATACCNGTACATTAACACTTTTTAATGTTTTTACGTTTGGAAAGATGTTAATTTTTCAGTTAGGTGCTAATTACCTTTGAAGAAAGTCGTGGTAAAATTGTTCTTAACCGTGCTGAAACTAATAGTGCCTGAATTTTGTTCGAGGAAATGAGGTTTCTAATAATATCGTGTCATTTAATTCTTTCTTGTCTCTTCACGCCCTTCTTAGGATTGCCAACGATCACTGAAGCAAAAGCACTTGAATTTTTCTTCGGGATTTTTGATAACGTTCGCAAGTTTTACTTTCACTATTTATCCACAAGCGGAACACAACTTCCAAACATGTTAATCCAAAAAGGCAACCAACAGTTCTTACATGTTATGTTGACATGTTCTCAACTTGTTTTGGAAAATTTGAAATGAAGGCAGAAATAATGGAATGATGATTTTTAATATTACAGTATTATTATCGTGCGTTCAAGAATAGCGCGGCTTCCCTATATCGTCTCGTCTTTATAACGGCTCAGTAAAAGTTGGGTCGACATTAATTTTATGGTAGGCCCTCTTTGGGGTACGAGAGCCTTTCTTTTTAGCCCACATATGCTTAGAACCCGGCAGCATCCGTGATCCCTGACAGCCGCGTCATTCGTCTCAGTTTTCGGTCTTTGATCCGTTGTTATGAGCGCGCTGAGAGGCCAGAGAAGCCCTATATATATATATATATTTTGGTATATACCAGGAAAAAGCTATCCCGTGCCACGAGGACGTGATGAGTATGAGTTACCCGGAAGATTTCTTTCTTTTTTCTCCTTTCGGACATTTATTTTTGCTGGTGTCGTCAACGTTGGGCCGCCGCAGGTTACGACTGGGTCGCCTGGAAGAACAACTCCTCGGGTCACGACCTGGAATTGGTGTTCGTCTTCAAGAGTCTCCGAGTGGTGCACGAAGTCCGGCTGCACGCAGCCAACGTGCCTTCCTTCAGGGTCGGGGTAAGAGTAATATAAGAAAGGCAGAGAAGGTCGATAGCTTTTTTTCTTCTTCTTCTTCTGCATATTATTGTAAATGAGGTACTGTTGATACAGTATTTATTTATCGACGGGTTCAGGGTTCCCGCAGCTGTGACCCGGATACGATTTTACGGTCCACATCGCATATATGTACTGTGCTATGGCTGGTACTAAATTCTTGTTTTTCCTGTTCGCAACTTTGAGAGGAGGAAAAAGTGATCTAAGAACTTTACCATCGAAAAAAATAAAAATAACCAGCTATTTTCCTGATTAGCGTTGAATTTCGCTGTTACTTTTGAAAGCTTTTTAAAAGAAGAGCAGATAATTTTAGAAAATACTTTCTTTGAGTTTCAGTGTTTTCAGTAAATTGATTTATTTTCTATCGAAAAAAAGGGATAATAACTTGCTTGACTCACCTTAAAATGTTTCTGTTACTTTTAAAAGTTATATTTTTTCCAACAGCAGATTATTTTTACGAAGTTTTTCTTTGAGTTTCAGTGCGTGTATGCATTGATTTCAAAGTCACTTTACACATTGCAGAAGTATGTATTGTATGTATATCTTTCTTGGAATCTCCTCGAATGCAATTTCTTCCCCTTTCTAACGAACACAAGCAATTTAAAAAAGGAAAACGTATTTGAAAAATCGAATAAGGAAGCCGTTTTTAATATTTTTCCCGAAAAAAAGACATCGTCGTCCACTGCACTTTTGCTCGCTGGTTCATCGTCATAAAATTATTTTTAGAATATAAATTTTTAGCTTGTAAAAATGCATTTGAAAGGATAAAAATTTTGATAATATTTTCTGCTTCCTTTTTTGACGTTTTTAAATTGAGGAGAGCAATCCTGGAAAGTGAGTTCAATTTTCTAGAAGTGTATATTTCCAACTCATTCTTCTTCGCAGACGCCTAAAGAACCGAGATTTTTGTGCGGCCCCTTGAATATAGCGAATTTCCCCCTACTTTCCAGTTCATGAATGCTTTGAAATGTAAATTTGTGCAAGATAAATCTGCTGGTTGGCTCAGTACATGAAATCGACAAGCAGGACAGTTGTGTGCGTCCCAAAACGGCGCTCTGTAAAATAGCGGTTGTGCACAAAAAAAAAAAAAAAACAGCATGCGTGAAGTACAATGATAATCGAAAGAATTGCAGAGTATTACAACGCTCTCATACTTGTGAAACACAATTTTTTCAAATTCGTGATTCATTCTATGAGCCATTCGTTTTTTGAACTCGTTATTTTAAATATTTGTCTATTCTAAGGGGAAAATCAGCTGTGCTGTATGTACTAGCGGGAAATGAATGAAATCAAAATCGAAAAATATTATGAAATGGTGATTTTTCAGTTATATTCAGAAATGTTTCTGCAGTATCTTCCCTTTGCGCTTGATAGTGCGAAAAATATTTCGCGTATCTTCGATTCTTTAATTCAATCCTTATTGGCGCAGCAAATTTGGCACTCAAGAATGCGGATTCTTTGTAAGACGCACTTTTCTAATAGTTCTCTTCAAAGTCTGGTCAACCGACTAATTCTTGGTTTGTGAACTTTCTGGCTAAGGAATTGATTGACATTGAAACATGATACTGTACTTCGGAGTAGTTGAACTTCATGATAAAACTTGACTCTTTCGTAGTGCATTTATCTTCTCTTTTTACTCGGAGTGGAAAGTTAACTTTTAACATATCCGATCCATTTCAACAGATCACCGGATGAGATTTCTACTGCTCCTTTCAACTTGGACTTTAATTTTTAAAACACATACTCCGTTATGCCATATTTCAGAAAGGTTTCCTGTCTGATGTCCAACTTCTCTCTCATTGGGATGATGCAGGAAAAATGTATGTTTGGGTTCCATCTACGGATCAAAGCGAACGAAGACATTTTCTATTCAACAGAAACTAGAAAGATTGCTTTCAGCTCGTGTATCTTTCAATTAATTAAAGGTATCCTCGAACAGTTATCTTTCGAGGCATATGAAGCAAAGTTTAAAGTGCAATCATTTACTTCGAGGTAAACATGATCCACAGAGACACATTCATGTTCTAAGAATTTTGCAGGCAGTTGATGTGCTTACAAATGGTGTTTAATATTCCAAACTCGTTTCGAAGATTAACTTCTGAACTGCTGACAACCCGGTTCGGATGAAAAGATGCTCTAATATCTGCGAAATTGTGTTAGTGATGCTAAATGTGGAAGTTTCTTCTGACATTTCGATCGATAGGCGAGGAAAAGTTCATGTACAGTGCTGCTAAAGTTGAAGAAAAATTTGCACTCCAGTTTAAGACACTTGCTGAAGTTTTTCTACCTTTCTTTAACCCTTGGATGGCGGCTGGTCAAATTCCATCCTGCAGCGGTACTGGGATATATTTGCATGCTTGTGCATTTTGGCTTGCCTCAAGGTCACCAGAAAACAGCTTTGGCTGAGTTATGTAGCCAAAGTTGGAAAAAATCCAGGAAATTAGGGAAACCCATTGTTCTTATAATCCTTCTATGCTAATCCTATATGGAAGGAATGCAGAAAAAAGCCCCTCCACAGTACTTTTTTTTTCTTTCTGTAAATTTTTCTGCAGGAATGCTAAAAAAAATTGGAAATTTTTCTGACTTCGGCTCTTTCGACCGTTCTTGTTTCTCATTTTTTTACGGTATTCTGTGTGGCACAAAATTTTGCAGGATAAATCCTGGCACCACTACCCAAGGGTTGAGAGTGCTTATTTGAATCCTGATTTTTGCAATCTGTAGGTTTTGAATCAGCTTATTTCCCCATTCTATGTTCCACAGACCAGTGTTTTTCTGCAGAATTTGTTTGATGGTCTGGAAGACATTTTCTTCCAGATAATGAATTAATCAGAAGTAGGAATGAAAGAAGTTGCAGTATCTTTATCTGAAATTTTGGAAAGACAATGGCAGTTGAAATTATCTATTGAAAAATAAATGTTGGCTTTTCTTCTAATAACATGTCAGGCATTTTTTCACCTGATGAAATAATTTTTTCGCATTTCTCAATTTTGAGAAACCTTTCTTCAAGCCCACCTTTCTAACTTTTTTGAAGATATTACACTTCAGTTGATTCTTTCGTTATTCTTAATGTAATTTTTTCAAAATAACCAGAAAATTTTTAAGTACCTGACATAAGTCTTTCAAGCAAATAGTTTTTAGTCGTCACAGATTTTATGAAACTTTTGCAGATCCGCAGAATAGTTTTCAGAAATTTACTGGTTTGCAACACATTTTATGAAAATTCGCAGGTCGGTGGGACCAAACCTGTTGGGGGAACATTGTTTTAAATAATCACTCTTTATGCATGCAGATCTTTGCAAGTGCCAAGGTGTTTGTGGACTCAGGAAATGGACATGGACCCAAGGAACGACTAGTTGCGTTGTTGGGATTCGGGGACGATTGGATTTTCCTCAGCGAAGTTTCTTTTAGCTCTGGTAGGTTTCATCGTGTTTTTATTCATAACACATTTTCTTAAACAGTATAGAAAACAATATCGACGTTTAACCTACGTTTAACCTGCGAGAAAAACGTGGGCGACATTTGAATCCGATCTTAATAAGTTAGACACAGGCTCGAACATGAGAAATATATCAAGATTAAAAATTCGACGCATAAGAATCTTGTTAGGATGTATTTTTTTATAAAACAAATTATATTCTACGTCCGCGTAGTATAGCCAGAATCAAAATTGATGAGCCTCGACGGAAAAAAAAATGTACGCTATAAATAAGGTATTTTCCGGGAACCCATGGCTTTTCGGTGAGATGATTCTGCCTGTCATTGATTGTTTTTTACCATTAAATTTGTTATATATTCTCACTTCATTATTTAAATGGATAAAGCCTCAAACATCTGGTATGAAATTACCAGGACATCTTGGTTAATTTTCGAAAAATATGCACACCTATAGTGAGTCGATGGAAAATTCGACTTTTCTTTCCGTCTTCATAAGTAGGTATTATAATTCTCGAAACCTCAGATTCGGACTTCATCTAATTTAGTGAATCCAAATATACGAGCTAGAAAGGAAAAAAGATGCTGCTTCGAATCCATGTGCCGGACTTGGGAAAAGAAGTTGAGAAAGAGTCACCTATGAAATCTTAAAAACTTAAATATCATTTCCGCAACATGACTTGAAAGCAATTTAGCGAGCTATCGAGTGAAAGATTTATTGAACATTTTAAGATAACTGGTGAGCTGTAGGATGTGAACTACAAAATGTTCGACAAAAGCTAGACTTGAGTAACCCAAGCAACTATATACACAGGTGAAATACTTTACCATGGCTTGAGTAAAATAAAAATAGAAATAATTAGATTGCAATCAAAAAATGTTAAAAAACCTGCCTGGACGAAGGAAAACAATCTTTTATTATTGGTTCATCGAAATCCGAATAATATTCATGCTGTATGTGATAGGAATTAAGAAGAAAAACGTTTTTAAACAATAATTTGTCGAAAAGGCTGCACAATAAAAGTTGAAAGTTTTGCTTTAGGGCCTTCAGGAGATACTTTGTCATAATTGATGTGTCGCTTAAAATTCGTGATCCAACCTGTATTTCAAAATGACTTGCAGAGGATTACGATCCGAAAAACCCTGGTCACTTGAAATCGCGAGGGTCGTCATGGTCCTTGACGACAGCTGAGCCCGGTCAAACGTCGACACCGACGCTGTCGGCATCGTTGAAGCCAACAGCTTCGGCTGTTCCATCAGCTGACCAGTCTGAATTTGCCACACAACCTGCTGACGATGAGGAATCCGGAAATGACTCTGAAAGTCGATCTGGAACCCCGTTCCAAACCTCGTCCTCCACGCCGTCGGTGTGGATCGAGATTTTAATTGTGTCGCTGACGCTCTCGGGTGTGGTTCTGGTTGCACTCGGTGTCGTTTGTGCCGTGAGGGCCACTTGGGGCCATTGGCCATCCGACAGTGGGAGGAAAGACCATTTGGGCAATGCCAGGCAGGGATGGTTCACCAAGAAACCCAATCATGTGAGTTACCTGCTCTACTACTGAGGGTTGCTAAAAGATATGTTGCTGTTCATTAATTCATATTTTAAACTCTAATTACATATATACTGTACGAGAAAATTTTAGTCATCCCTGGACCCTTTAATTATGTTCTCAGCATGATTAGCCTGGCAAAATCTAACAAACTGTACCTCAACGATTTCAAACGCTTTTTTTTCATCCTCAATAGAAGCTGGTGTAATCTCGACGTCCGAAGGTTGATTCATGAGATTTGAAACTTTTTGAAAAAAATCCAACAGAGTTTCACAATTCCAAAATTTGTTTTTTGCTTGTAGAGTCCCATAATTTGGCAACACTTGAGTGGTGTTCAAAATACTCTCCCCCGATTTCAATTCATTTTTTTTCATGCGATATAACCAACGATTAAAAGAGTTCCAAAATTGAATTCCGTTAGGTGTTTGATCTGCTTTTTGATGGCAGAAATGAAGTCGTTGCTGTTCTCAAAATCAATCCCTTTCAAAACGTTCTTCGCCGTCGGGAACAACCAGAAGTCACAGGATTTAATCATTTTTTATGAATTCTTTTTCTGTCGTTGAATTCTTTTAAATCACTTTAAAATGCATCGAAACAGGTGAAGGGTATGCTGAACAGCATTGAAGTCCTGCCAAATGATTGGGCTATGCGAGTAAAAAAAAATTTCATTCTTGAAACTCTGTTAGATTTATTTTAAAAAATTGCGAAACTCATGAACCAACCCTCGTATTTTTGCAAGCTTGGATGATTTTGAAATTATTAAATCAAAATAAGTCAGAATATGAATTCCCAGTATACTGCAGAAAGTAATGGAGTTCATCTAAGGTTTAGGGAAACCCATTGTTCTTATAATCCTTCTATGCTAATCCTATATGGAAGGAATGCAGAAAAAAGCCCCTCCACAGTACTTTTTTTTTCTTTCTGTAAATTTTTCTGCAGGAATGCTAAAAAAAAATTGGAAATTTTTCTGACTTCGGCTTTTTTGACCGTTCTTGTTTCTCATTTTTTTACGGTATTCTGTGTGGCACAAAATTTTGCAGGATAAATCCTGGCACCACTGCCCAAGGGTTAAGAGTGGTTCTTTGAATCCTGATTTTGCAATATGTATGTTTTGAATCAGCTTATTTCCTCAACCCATGGTCCACAGACCAGTGTTTTTCTGCAAAATTTGTTTGAGAATTGGTCCGCAAGACATTTTCTTCCAGATAATGAATTAATCAGAAGTAGGAATGAAAGAAGTTGCAGTATCTTTATCTGAAATTTTGGAAAGACAATGGCAGTTGAAATTATCCAATGAAAAATAAATATTGGCTTTTCTTCTAACAACATGTCAGACATACTTTCACCTGATGAAATAAATTTTTCTCATTTCTCATTCTGAGAAACCTTTCTTTAAGCCCACCTTTCTAACTTTTTGAAGATGTTACACTTCAGTTGATTCTTTCGTTATTCTTAATGTAATTTTTGCAAAATAACCAGAAACTGTCCCTGACGTAAGTCTTTCAAGCAAATATTTTTTAGTCATCACAGATTTTATGAAACTTTTGCAGATCCGCAGAATAATTTTCAGAAATTTACTGGTTTGCCACACATTTTATGGAAATTCGCCGGTCAGTGGGACCAAACCTGTTGGGGGAACATTGTTTTAAATAATCACTCTTTATGCATGCAGATCTTTGCAAGTGCCAAGGTGTTTGTGGACTCAGGAAATGGACATGGACCCAAGGAACGACTAGTTGCGGACAGGACCTTCGCCTCAGATGTTGGCAGAGACTTCGTTCGAAACGTGTCTATACCGCTGATTTCTGGACATGAACTCATAATTGCACGCGTAGTTCGAGTCGTGTTGGGATTCGGGGACGATTGGATTTTCCTCAGCGAAGTTTCTTTTAGCTCTGGTAGGTTTCATCGTGTTTTTATTCATAACACATTTTCTTAAACAGTATAGAAAACAATATCGACGTTTAACCTNACGCGTAGTTCGAGTCGTGTTGGGATTCGGGGACGATTGGATTTTCCTCAGCGAAGTTTCTTTTAGCTCTGGTAGGTTTCATCGTGTTTTTATTCATAACACATTTTCTTAAACAGTATAGAAAACAATATCGACGTTTAACCTGCGAGAAAAACGCGGGCGACATTTGAATCCGATCTTAATAAGTTAGACACTGGCTCGAACATATATGAGAAATATATTAAGATTAAAAATTCGACGTATAAGAATCTTGTTAGGATGTATTTTTTTATGAAACAAATTATTCAACGTCCGCGTAGTGTAGCCAGAATCAAAATTGATGAGCCTCGACGGAAAAAAAATTTACGCTATAAATAAGGTATTTTCCGGGAACCCATTGCTTTTCGGTGAGACGATTCTACCTGTAATTGATGGTTTTTTACCATTAAATTTTTCATATATTCTCACTTCATTATTTAAATGGATAAAGCCTCGAATATTTGGCATGAAATTACCAGGAAATCTTGGTTAATTTTCGAAGAATATGCACACCGATAGTGAGTCGATGGCAAATTCGACTTCTCTGTCCGTCTCTTCATGAATAGGTATTATATATCTCGAAACCTCAGATTTGGACTTCATGGAATTCAGTGAATCCAAATATAAGAGCTAGGAAGGATATAACAGATGCTGCTTCGAATCCCTGTGCCGGACTTGGGAAAATAAGTTGAGAAGTGTTCAAGTTCTCAAGAGTCAGCTATAAAATCTTCAAAACTAAAATTTCATTTCCGCAACATGACTTGAAAGCAATTTAGCGAGCTATTGAGTGAAAGGCTTATTGAAAATTTTAAAACAACTGATGAGGTATAGGACGTGAACTAAAAAATTTCGACAAAATTGAAAGACAAAATGTAGACCTGAGTAATCCAAGCAACTATACACAGGAGATATATTTTATATGGGTTGAGTAAACTAAGAAAATGTACAATAGTAGATTACAATAAATAAATAAATAAAAAGTTTGCCGAGACGAAGTAGAACAATCTCTTTTTTAAATTGGTTCATCGAAATCCGGATAATAATCATGCGGTATGCGACATAGGAAGTAAGAAGAAAAACGTTTTAAAGAAATAAATCGTCGAAAAGACTGCACAATGAAATTTGAAAATTTTGCTTTAGGGCCTTCAGGAGATACTTCGTCATAAATAATGTGTCGCTTAAAATTCGTGATCCAACCTGTATTTCAAAATGACTTGCAGAGGATTACGACCCGAAGAACCCTGGTCACTTGAAATCGCGAGGGTCGTCATGGTCCTTGACGACAGCTGAGCCCGGTCAAACGTCGACACCGACGGTGTCGGCATCGTTGAAGCCAACAGCTTCGGCTGTTCCATCAGCTGACCAGTCTGAATTTGCCACACAACCTGCTGACGATGAGGAATCCGGAAATGACTCCGAAAGTCGATCTGGAACCCCGTTCCAAACATCGTCATCCACGCCGTCGGTGTGGATCGAGATTTTAATTGTGTCGCTGACGCTCTCGGGTGTGGTTCTGGTTGCACTCGGTGTCGTTTGTGCCGTGAGGGCCACTTGGGGCCATTGGCCATCCGACAGTGGGAGGAAAGACCATTTGGGTAATGCCAGGCAGGGATGGTTCACCAAGAAACCCAATCATGTGAGTTACCTGCTCTACTACTGAGGGTTGCTAAAAGATATGTTGCTGTTCATTCATTCAGATTTTAAACTCTAATTACATATATACTGTACGAGAAAATTTTAGTCACCTCTGGACCCTTTAATTCTGTTCTCAGCATGATTAGCCTGGCAAAATCTAACAAACTGTACCTCAACGATTTCAAACGCCTTTTTTTTTCATCCTCAATAGAAGCTGGTGTAAACTCGACGTCCGAAGGTTGATTCATGAGATTTGAAACTTTTTGAAAAAAATCCAACAGAGTTTCACAATTCCAAAATTTGTTTTTTGCTTGTAGAGTCCCATAATTTGGCAACACTTGAGTGGTGTTCAAAATACTCTCCCCCGATTTCAATTCATTTTTTTCATGCGATATATCCAACGATTTAAAGAGTTCCAAAATTGAATTCCGTTAGTCTTTTAATCTGCTTTTTGATGGCAGAAATGAAGTCGTTGCTGTCCTCATAATCATCAACTTTCAAAACGTTCTTCGCCGTCGGGAACAACCAGAAGTCACAGGGTTTAATAATTTTTGTATGAATTCTTTTTCTGTCGTTGAATTCTTTTAAATCACTTGAAAATGCATTGAAACAGGTCAAGTGTATGCTGAACAGCATTGAAGTCCTGCCAAATGATTGGGCTATGCGAGTAAAAAAAAAATTTCATTCTTGAAACTCTGTTAGATTTATTTTTTTTTAATTGCGAAACTCATGAACCAACCCTCGTATTTTTGCAAGCTTGGATGATTTTGAAATTATTAAATCAAAATAAGTCAGAATATGAATTCCCAGTATACTGCAGAAAGTAATGGAGTTCATCTAAGGTAATTGCGAAACTCATGAACCAACCCTCGTATTTTTGCAAGCTTGGATGATTTTGAAATTATTAAATCAAAATAAGTCAGAATATGAATTCCCAGTATACTGCAGAAAGTAATGGAGTTCATCTAAGGCGTTAATATATCTCAGAATAATTTCGGAGAGAATCAATAATATTTTCATTTGATTACGCACAAGTTTTGCTGAAGTTTCGCATTATCCTGAACGCAAATTGTTGTGATGTCAAGTTGAATTTCCAAAGATTAAAAAGCAATTACCAGCTTGACGCGCAAGGAATTCCAATAATTCTTGAAGTATCTTGATTTTGTTCGAAGCCTACGAATAAATTTTTTTTTCGGATTCTGCCGTTTCAGCGTCAAAAATTATGATTTGCCCGATTAAAAAAGGATTTATTTCCTGATTCAGTTACCTTGTGCCCTCGTGAGCCGGTACAAGAGTACATTAATGACTTTTAAGCCTATACCATTTCATTTTCAGCAATACGTTTCTTTAGGGATTCTGAATCACCTGCTCTAGAATGACTTTTGTATAGTTCAACAGTTTCTTGGGGGGGGGGGGTAAAACGCGTTAATTGTGCATAAAATTGGGATGCGAAATTCGTAGCCATGCTGTCGTACGACAATTGAACGTTGAGTAGGAATTATACATTGTTGGAATATTAGGCCTGAGTCACGTTCGCATTTGACTCTTTTCTTTCTTATTGCTGATTTTTTTTTTTTAACTCGTGGATCACGCCTGGCACGTGTGGAATAAAATATATGAAGCCACGCGACGGGGCAATGAATGCCAAATGAGCTGAAGATCTGCGTCGCGAAACTGAATTTGCATGTCTCTTGTTGGTGCATTCCGACTTTTCCAAGTCTTGTCAGGGACCGAAAGCAGGCGCTGGTAGACTGAATTGAAAAAAATGCTAGTATTCAAAATGTTGCAGGTCGTGTTCTCAAGTAAAAATTACGTGACACGTTTCCAACCAAGTATTCATGATTCTGGATTATACAGTTCAGAGTTGATCACAGCCAACTTTGACTATAGAAACGATAATTGTGTGTCCGTTAAAAGTGTCTCTTGTTCAGGACAAAACCATGAAATTTTCAAAGGTAAAATTTTGCACATTGTGTAATTCACGACGCAAAATACCAAAGCGCGTATCTCATTCAATGTTCAAGATACAGAATTCCGCAACATTTTAAAATTTAGATCTTGATATTCTGTACACTTTTTGTTCTCTGTAACATATTTCTAAATCTCTTACTTTTTGAGATATTTGCGTTTCCGCAAAATCCCTTTTTCGCCAAAGCACTTTGCTGATAAAAATCAGCGCGCATTACCTTGCTGATAAAATCGCCCATGTTCAGGAGCAGAAACAAAAACAAAATTGTCCCACTTGGGGCATTCAGAAAGTAAAATGCACAATTAGTGCAATATTTGCAACTGCTAAAATTAGACTAAGTTCATGCTACAAAATAAAATGTCTTTCTTGTCTTCAATAAAATAAAATCTCTGGGTTAAAATAAAACAAAGAGACAAGCCGAAAACGTTCAATTTCAACCAATACGCTAGAACCAGTGAGAAGAACTTTTACTTGATTTGGTATTTACACAGCAACAGTTGGTGTTTTTAAACCCTTTTTTAAAATTAAATTTCAAATTCATTCGAATTTTCCTCGAATTTTGGAACCCAATCAGCTGCAGGACGGCCAAGATGTCGGCGGTGGAGGAGGAGGACTGCGTCCAGCATGCAGGATATCGTTGACCAACGAGCAAATAGTGACTGTGGGCTCGGAGTACTCAGCCNGTGGAATAAAATATATGAAGCCACGCGACGGGGCAATGAATGCCAAATGAGCTGAAGATCTGCGTCGCGAAACTGAATTTGCATGTCTCTTGTTGGTGCATTCCGACTTTTCCAAGTCTTGTCAGGGACCGAAAGCAGGCGCTGGTAGACTGAATTGAAAAAAATGCTAGTATTCAAAATGTTGCAGGTCGTGTTCTCAAGTAAATTAATGCACTGTGCAAAGGTTGGTTCATAAGTACTAAGACCTAATATGTCAAGTCTCAACTAGTGTCGGTTGAAACTGATATCTTTGCTATTAACACACAGGCAATTTTCACAGAGAACAAGTCCTGTAAACCATGAAATTTTCAAAGGTAAAATTTCGCACATGGTGTAATTCACAGCGCAAAATACCAAAGCGCGTATCTCATTCAATGTTCAAGAAACAGAATTCCGCAACATTTTAAAATTTAGATCTTGATGTTCTGTACACTTTTTGTTCTCTGTAACATATTTCTAAATCTCTTACTTTTTGAGATATTTGCGTTTCCGCAAAATACCTTTTTCTCCAAAGCACTTTGCTGATAAAAATCAGCGCGCATTTCCTTGCTGATAAAATCGCCCATGTTCAGGAGCAGAAACAAAAACAAAATTGTCCCACTTGGGGCATTCAGAAAGTAAAATGCACAATTAGTGCAATATTTGCAGCTGCTAAAATTAGACTAAGTTCATGCTGCAAAATAAAATGTCTTTCTTGTCTTCAATAAAATAAAATCTCTGGGTTAAAATAAAACACAGAGACAAGCTGAAAACGTTCAATTTCAACCAGTACACTAGAACCAGTGAGAAGAACTTTTACTTGATTTGGTATTTACACAGCAACAGTTGGTGTTTTTAAACCCTTTTTTTTTAAATTAAATTTCAAATTAATTCGAAATTTTCCTCAAATTTTGGAACCCAATCAGCTGCAGGACGGCCAAGATGTCGGCGGTGGAGGAGGAGGACTGCGTCCAGCATGCAGGATATCGTTGACCAACGAGCAAATAGTGACTGTGGGCTCGGAGTACTCAGCCNAAACAAAGAGACAAGCCGAAAACGTTCAATTTCAACCAATACGCTAGAACCAGTGAGAAGAACTTTTACTTGATTTGGTATTTACACAGCAACAGTTGGTGTTTTTAAACCCTTTTTTAAAATTAAATTTCAAATTCATTCGAATTTTCCTCGAATTTTGGAACCCAATCAGCTGCAGGACGGCCAAGATGTCGGCGGTGGAGGAGGAGGACTGCGTCCAGCATGCAGGATATCGTTGACCAACGAGCAAATAGTGACTGTGGGCTCGGAGTACTCAGCCCTGGACAGGGCCACTTTGTGCACCGAGTACTCCTTGTTGGACGACAATTTCTGCTTGCAGCAGCAACAGCAGGGTACTACAAACGCCCTGGGCAAACTCGGGCAGCCCAGGCAGCTCCAGCTGCAGCAGCAACACTGCTGGCAGAGTGCAAAGGACGTCTCCAATCTCTCCTCTCCTGAAAGCATTTACACTGGTGCAGTATATATACCACTCGAGTTCATTGCTCATTGTTCTTTGTGGGGAAGAAAATTGGCAAGGATTTGCCATTTCTCACTGGATACTCGTATTTACTCGCAAATAAGGCGTCATTGATTACATTGTGCAAGACTTGCATGCACGTCTGTAATAGTTTTGCATTTTCTGAATTAATTTTTAAAGAAAAATTGCCTGCTGCAGAAAGGAAGAGACGCCGTGTCATAAAATCACGTTTCTTCATTTGTGAAGGAGATTTTTGTTTCTGTAATTCTATTACTAGTGTAGTTTAGTTTACTTTACACCAAAGTCTTTTCCAACAATTGTACGAAAAATCGGCATTTTATAACTCTTGAACTGATCATGGTGGTAAGAATTTTTGTTATGGAGCATGAATTCTGGCTCCTCTTTTATTCGAAAGTACGAATAAAAGATTCGTGCCGGAGCCCGAACTTCTGTAATTCAATGCACTTCCAAGAATTAAACATGATTCGATTTTTTCCACAATCAAATAATAAGATTCCATCGAATGGTTTTTCAAATAATTGAGAATGGAATCTTTCCATCGCAAAAGAAAAACAACTTAGAGAAACCCTTTAATAACATTGGGAAAAATTACTTTGGGACCAAAAATTAATTTGTTACACAGAGAAAATCGCTGTCATGAGAGTCCAACTGCATTCATAATGCAATCAAAGGACTTCTTTCAACTTATGACCTCTCAGGAAAAATATTTTAGAACTATCATATTTTATGTTTCGTGACAGTGAGATGTTCTTTTCATATGAGTATACTGATATAGTATACTCGAGTACTTGTAGAGCGCATCTAGAGCTCCAAATAAAATTCCGGCTTGCAAACTGCTCAAGGTACTTAAAAGTACCTAAAGAGCTACGGAGCCTAGCTATCTTTGTGAATAGAATTTCTCAGATGCAAAGATATGCGAAGTCTTTCGAAGAACCAGAGAATATGGAATGCATTAGTGTGCTTTATGTCGAAGTTTCAAGAAGTTCAGATCTATACTCAATGTGCATGATGATAAGGACCTAGCTCCCGAAAATATCTAGCGTTTTCTCTGACGTTCTGGCGAAATGCGTGTATATTCTAACAGTGTTCCCCAACCCGATGGTACCAGAGACCATCATGGGGTTGTGCTGGTCCGCAAACGTTTTTGCCGGTCCGCGGGGAATTTTCTACAGCATAATAAATGTATCAAAGTAGGGATGAAGTCTGTTATCCTTATCTGAAATTTTGGAAAGACAATGGCATTTTAAATTTTCTGATGGAAAAAATAAAAGTTGGGCTTTTCTCCTTTAAAACTTTAGACAAATTTTCACAAACTGAAATAAATTATCTGAATTTTTCCTTCTGAAAAACCTTTCTTCAAGCCCACCTTTTGAATTTTTGAAGGCATTCCACTATAAATAGCTGCTTCATTAGTTCTTGATTTTTGCACACAAAAAAAGCGGTAACTTTTTTAATGCCTGCAATGTTCAAAAGTATTTCAAGCAAAAAATGTTTGAGTCTGCAAATGCAACTTTGCTGGTCCACTGAAAATTTTTGGGGAATTTGCCAGTCCACAATACATTTTATAGAAATTTTACAGTATGAGGGTCCAATAAGGCTGGGGATCACTCTAACTCAGTGTTTCCCACCTTTCCGGGCCCACGGATTGGCAAATTTCCACACAAAAAAAGTTTTGTGGACTGGCAAATTTCAAATAAAATTTCTGAAAACCAGCTAAGTTTCAGAAAATGTTTGCTAAATCAGAAAGTTTTGTCTGGAAGACTCTATGGCAGGTATTTAAAATGTTTCAGGTTTTTGTAAAATCAACTGAAGAACCAATGAGCAACTACGGTGGGATGTCTTTAAAAAAGTAGGAAGGTGGACTTGAAGAAAGCTTTCTGAGAATGAAAGAAAAAGGATAATTTGTTTCGCGTACATTTTTAAACGACCTTCACAACACTCCTCTTTTAATTGATGACAAAAAGTAGTTTATGAAAGTTGACGGAAAAAGAACTTTAAAGTTTATTTTTATTGTATGAAGTAACGATGAAAAGTATTTTTGATTATGCAGAAGAAAATTTCTCGCGGACCGGCGAAAAACTTCCGCGGACCACGGGTTGAGCAACACTGTTCCAACTCATTCAACGCATATATCGGCAATGTATTGAAATTATCGCTTCTTATGGGGAAAAATTGTCTCAACAGACACGTTTTCTGCGGAATACGCGAGTCCTTTGATCTCAAAGTTGCCGACGACGACGAGGAACAGCTTCCATGCCAAGTCGCCGTCGACACCGCCGAGTCATTTCCTCTTGGCTGGCATGAAGACCTCTGCAACGACTGGCACTTTGTCGACGTTCCATCCGACGGGTCAGAAAATGGACGCCGGGAAGGGCAAGATGGCGACTTCCTATGCGGCTCAGCAACAGCAGCAGTTGTTGCAAGACCGCGGCAGCAAGAAGCGACGTTCGCATCAGCAGGAACAGCCGTACGCCACAACCGACATCCTTTGCGTAAGCTCAAAAATTGGGCGTTTAATTTGATGTCTCAATACTCTTTTTTTTGGTCTTTTGAATTATGTATATTTTGAGGCTTGAGTCGATGGTAGTACAGTATATAGTGCCAATGTACAGTATTTCGGTTTAGAAAATAAATCCGACGATACATCAGTACTCGTTTTCTGCGCGGTGCGGCGGAAAAAAGTTGACCGCCTTTGCAGGAAGAAATTCCGACATCTCGATGAGAAAGATGATATTTTTCAAATTCGTGAGATGGCCAAACAGAATTTCGTTTGATAAATTTTGTATTACGGTAGATATAATTCCCGTTTTGCGGTTTTAATTAATATACTGTACTTTATGTTTATTTTCATGGGCTGAATTAGCGACGAAGTGTATTTAAAAAATAAAATTCGACTAATAATTTTCATGTGATTTCTTAACCCTTGGACGGCGGCAGCCTCCTTTCCATCCCAGGGCTAAGTCGGACTTTTTCTGGATGGGTGTGCATTATATTTTTGCACAAGGTTATGCAACCCCTGCCAGGTGGGGGAGGGCGAAGTCGGATTTTTTCCGGGGATAATGAAATGCTGGGAAAGTCCTGAGTCGGACTTTTTGGTCCTAGGAATGGTTTCCTACTATATTATCCCACATTGTTCAACCCAAAAGGATTAAACGGTCTGGTCCTTCACCAGGAGGCTGGGAGGGGGTCCGTTTTTGCTCCGTTCATTCTCTAATCGCCAGGCGTATTGGTAATCATGCTCTATTTTTTGGGACATCGCATTTACTTCTGTTATAATGTACTCCTCATGTATAGCATGTTTCTACAGCATGTTTTCTACCAGGAAATCAAGAACTTTTTTTAATGTAATTCAGTTTGATTCAGTTGCCTTGAAAACGTTTTTTAACGACCTGGTATCAGGAGGTAACTATGTCTCGATTACGGACACTTAGGACAGCATTTTTTTTAATACTTCATGTCTTGTTTAGTTTCGTTTAAGTTAGCACTCGTCACCTTTTAGTACCAAAAGAAGCCTTGAAGAATTGAAAACCTGAGATTAAGTAGAAAACCGTTAGAAGTACAGTATAGGGAACATTGCTGTTTATAAAATGATCCCAGAAGTCTACCTTCAAATTAAAAAAAAAGAGATCGTAGGAGGGAATTTAAATGAAATAAAATCATATCTTCTGGAATAGCGTTTAAATACACACGGCGCTTGAAAAATATAGATGCTCAGCAAATCGCATGTTCCCGAAAATTACGCCTGATAAAACTCCTCACCCTTTTGTGATGACGAATCGACATCCATCGGGCAATATAGGCCACAAAAGCAACTCATAGTCAAGACATAGTAAAACTATTCAACAGGACACCAGGCAACTTGGATACTTTCAAAGAAAGCGTATTTAGTATTCCTTGTATACCTGAGACTTGGAGGAAAGTTATGGTCCCCCTTTCTCAACTCATAGTCAAGACATAGTAAAACTATTCAACAGGACACCAGGCAACTTGGATACTTCCAAAGAAAGCGTATTTAGTATTCCTTCATATGGACTCTGAACCTCCTTTCAATACCAGGGGGAAAGCTTTTATGGGAAAATGAAAGTCGTGTTAAACGCCCCATAATCGGGTACCGCGGACCGCGTGTAAGGACTCCGGGCACGCGTTTAAGGTTTTCTTCTTGAATGGTCCAAACCGCTTAATCCGTCTACTGACCACAATGGAAAATAAGATAGTAGGAAACCATACCGGACACCGGACTTTTTCCGTATTGACCTCCAGCCTGGGCTCCTGGCTTTCAAGCTTAAATTTAATCTTTGAATGGGGAAACAACACAAGGCCAGGGAAAAAAAGGGGAGCCTTGAAGCTTTCATTTTTTTTATTTTCAGGTGAAATTTTTCTGTGCAAAATTAAAAAAATGCCAGGATTTTTCCCGACTTCGCCCTGCACACACTGTTGAGGTTTTTTTAAATTCCACTCTGGAGTGACACAAAAATCTGCGAAAAAAGTCCGACTTAGCCGCAGAAGGGTTAAACGAGGGTAGACGGCGTTGATTCGAAAACTTTCCTATTTTAAGTCATTTGCGTTTTAAAATTATTCGAAAGCTGTATATGAAATGCTTTCTTTCATCTTTCTTTAATTGTTGATAAATTTTGAGGCGTTATCTCAGGGTTTTCTCGAATTTCTTTTAAATCCGAGTTCAAAAATATGATTAATTTAAAATTTTCCAACATGAAAAACAGACTGTTTCGATGATAGAAAAATCAAAACTTTACTTCTTTTGAATTAATTTCATCAGTTTCTTGGGTTGAGGCATTTTTTGACAATTTTATGAACAAAAGGTTTTGCGACTTTCGAAATGAAATACAGTGTTGTAGTCATTGAATATTCATGAAATCAACGTCTGCGGGAAATTTTCGCTGCAATGTTTGCAAATTTTCCCGATAATGCCATTATGCAGCAAGAAATAAATATTGTACTTCGGAAGTAAACGTTGTGGGTGCTAGAGTGAAGAGAGCGTGACGCTCTTCGGGTGACACCTGTGTGACGACGCATGAAATGTCGGCGGGCAATTGAATGACCACGTGAATAGATCTGAAGTAAAACCACAGGTTATCGTATACTATCTCGCAGATCAACAACAACCATTCGAGCAAGAATAAAGACGGCAAACAAGCAGCTCATCAGCAAGCTCAGGTCTTCTTCCTCACTCAAAGAGACTCCGCTGGAGAATTGAGCTTCGCCCCGTTTCAACAGCAAGCGTCATCTTGGTCAACTGGCAACATTTTTGACCCACCGCGTCATCAGCAAAATCAGCAATAGTTGGATCAATCCCCGGACATACACCCGGGAATGGGCACAAAGGTGGGGATGAAGGAGATCATGCTAAAAAAAAGAAAGCTGGAAATGCATTCCACGGAAAAATTAGTCATTCAAGCAGGAATCAAGGATCGTTCCGTTGCAAAAAAAGAAAAAGAAAAAGAAAAATGAAAAATCAATGTGCAATTTTTTCTCTAATCCCCCTCGGTTGCACATAATTGCGACGAGTTGTAATATTTTCCGATGTGATCCTTGCATGTGGATTAACCCGAAATTTTTCTATGTGCTCTCTCAGCTGATCAGCTCTGATTTTTTTTCTTGAACGAACCAGCCGAAAAACATATTTTCAATTTTCTGCATCCAATATTTCCCGTCAAAAAAAGAAAAGAAAACTTCGAATCGTGATCGCTGTTCCCGAGCTCTTCCTCGCATATCCGTGTTGGAGCGTATCTTGAATTGTGGTTGTTGTCGCCATTTTCATCGCAAAAATTACAAGAAATTCATAATACCTAGCTGAGAAAATGTTGATATTACTCCTTCAAATGTTTTGGAAAACCGAATTAAAATTCATATTTGACGAGCAACTTTCAAATTCCGTAGCAGACGAGTTTCCAAGATTCGATTCGAAGAAAGTCTTCAAAAACGTCGGCGTTATACATTTTTGAATGATTTTGGTTCACAAAATTGATGTTCGCCAAAATTATTCGCAGGTTAGCAGATCGTTGAGATTCAGAAGAGAATCGATTAAATAATTTGCCTGTCTGAACAGGAGAACATTGGTCTGTTGTCAATGGCTAAAATTCGAATTTTTGTTCTTTGCCTATTTTTGTACCCCAGAAAGAATATTGAAACAAAATTCCACGAAAAATGAACGGGAAAAGAATCGAATGAATGCGAAAAAAAAATTTGCTGCAGCGTGTGAAAGTGTTTTTAAACCTTTGTCTGGCATTTTTACGTGTTATTCCTTTGGGTCGTGCTCTTTATTCAACGTCAGTAATTGTCGAGAAATGAGCGGATTTAAATCGCGAAACGAATTCCTTGAGTTCATCTGCATTTTTTTCATTCTTTAGATTGATTTTGTTGGGATAACCCAACACAGTACTTGATCACGCCACGTATTCTACTTTTTTTGGAAACGAACTTTTTGGAGTGTGTGAATTGATCAAAATTTTTGTCTTCATAGAGGATCTCGGCTGAATAAAAATGACTGTGAAATACAATTTTCTTGGTGTGGCCCTTGAAAAATCGTCTATATTCGTATCATTTTCTTCGGCAATTTTCTGGAAGTGTAACACGTCATTGCCTTTTTTGAAATTTCAAAAATCGTAACTTGAAAATGCATCATTCCAGATCATGTTCCTTCTGAATTCAGAAAAATGTACGATTATATATAAATAATGTCTAGTTTAGAATATTTGCAGGTCTTTCCGAAAAGCGATTCAAGATGCAAGCACCTGCTGATTTTTCAAGCGAAACAAAAATTCCGAGCTTTTCGGCTTACGAATTTGATTATTTTCAAATCACCTGTACCGTCCACGCTAAATTCCTGCTTGAATAGATTTTGAAGAGTGCAATCAGGACAGTAATTTTCAAGCTGAGTAATTTTGGAAAATATTAAGTCGGTGATCGTTATACTCGAAGACCTTGATAACTTTCCTTTACCTTTGTATACAGTTACACGGCGACGCTCAATTTTTCTTTATACCACAACGAAGGAAAAGCTTGAAGAACATCCGTGAGAAAAGCCAACAATTTTTGGGTTTTCTCCGGGGATAAAGGCTTAACTCTTTTCGAGAAATTGAGGTAATATTGCGTTGAAACGCGAATTTTCCCGTCCCGCGGGAAAGAAATGTGTATTTGGATTAAAGAACGATGTATTAAATTACGAGGGATGGTTCATAAGTTTGGACATTTTTTGAAATAGATCCGACAGACTTTCAAAAAATCCAAATTTTTGTTTTTACTCACGTAGCCCCATTAATTGGCAACACTACGTTATTGCTGTTCAATGCAGTCTTTGTCTATTTCAATGATTTTTTCCATGCGATATAATAATAAATGCAATGATCAAAACAGTGCCAAAAACTAATAATTTCTTTAGTTGATCAAGCTACCCTTTATTGACTACTGAAGTGAGGCTGTCACTGATCTTAAAATCAATCCCTTTCTGGTCATCTTTCGCCGTCGGGAAGAGCCAGTATAGTCACAGAATTTTTTTGATCAAATGATTTGTATAAAACATTTTTGTCGCTGAATTTTTTTTATTAAAAAAACTTTCACAAAATGCATTGCATCCTGTGACTCATTCTGGCTGTTTCCGACCGTGAAGTATGATTTGGATGGGATTGACTTTGAGGACAGCAGTGACAGCTGTCAGGGACCAAAAGATGTCGCTCGAATACACCCTCACAAAATACCTCCACTTTTTATAATTGAACTTCACCTAACAACCCAAAAAAAAAACCAGCTCAACACAGAGTCCTCAAGATAACAATCTAAAAACTCACAGCCTCCTAAACAGGACAAACAAACTTGTGATTGTGAAAGTTAAATCTTATTATTGCAAAGACAGTGAAACCAGTGAAAATACAATTTTTTTTCTGGAGACTTTGTCTTGGCCTCATATGGCCTATTGTGATTACTTTTTATTTCTGAAGTGATTCTTCAAATTTCTTTGTCACTGGACTTTAGAGTCCCTGACACCAGCCCTCATTTCAGTCGTCAAGAAAATGTTTCAAAACTTATGAACTCACTCTTGTATACAAGGGATTTTCGTGGGATGAAAATGATGGAATTACCTTGGAAGACCTGGAGGTAACCCTTTGAATTAATACCACCTTGATTTCAAGAATTATGAGGGAATAGCTGGTTGAAAAAATAAAAAATGGCAGGAAGGGCGCCTCATCTTTTGAGTGGAGAGCAAAACTCTGCCAGGGTGAATTTTGCAAAACAATTTTTTTTTTAATTGTCAAACAGGGCTTATATTTTTGTGCCAAAGATAATATGTTTTCCTAAAGAATAAATTTTTTACAGCTCAATTATACGCCATTTTCATTTCTATTCCCAGAACTTTTGTTGGAACCCTCGTATAGAGAGAGAAAAAAAGGGCGAATTTACTGGCTGCTGGATCTCGGCGATGCTTCACTTATTATCGCGAGGACTGGCGAGAATAGAATCCCAGCGAGGAAGTGAACCATTTGTTCAGTCCGACCTGGATTCAGTCAACCTTGGCAACGCAATGAGCTGCTTCCTAATCTGGAACATTCTGGCCAGGCACGGATTTTTTTTTTTTCACTTGCTTGGCTATTCTACTTAACCGTGGCCTCGTGATCTCCACGCTCAATTCCCACACGACGAAGCGCACAGGGTTTCATTTCGACCATCACCCGCATTTCGCGTCAATTTTGTCTCTCTCCGGATATCGGCGAGTTGAATTATTCATAATCGATCAATTCGCAGATTTAAAAATAAAAGAAAAAAAGAAACGAAAAGTTAGCTGGTGTGTTTTTTATTTTATTTTATTGGGACGATTGCATCAATGAGGCATGACACCCTGACAGGAAACTAAGCTGGGAAATCTTTATTTCTATACGAGCAAGGCGCATTATTCATGAATATCATGATCATTCAATTCATTGGCTAAAAAATAAGTTAGCTGGCGAGGGTTATATTTATATTCTTTTGGGACGATTGCAACATCAATGAAACTGGGAGAACAAAGTTGGGGAATCTTAATTTGTATACAAGGGACGAAGGGGATTATTTACGATCGCAGTTTTAAAAAAGTGCCTGGCGTGTTTTTTCATAATTTTCATTGGGACGATTGAATCAATGAGCCTTAGAAACAAATTGGGGAATCTTTATTCCTATTGTCCTATTGCTGGAAGCGTTTCCTCGGCTTTTGAAATTGTGAAATCATTGAAAAAATAGAATGTATTTACTTAGTTACCCTTGACCTTGAGGAAGATGTGCACATCGATTTTGCAGAGGAAACTTTGTCTAAAAACGTACCGCCGCAGGAGGCACGAACCCCGAATTTTATGATCAATAACAAAATCCTCAATATATACAACTTTTATTTTTCATTCAATATATACAAAATTCAGAGATTTGGGATCAAAACCGAAAAGAAAGCAACAACAAATCTTGTTGAGCATCACAATGTTTAAACTTGTAGCTTTTGATATTTTCTTGGAAATTGATTCAAAGAATATTAGGTACTACAGTATCTGCAATCACATTAAACCTTAATGCATACAAGGAAGGTCCAATCCCACTTTCGTGTGTAAAATTCCCGAAAAAAGTGCATGTGGAATTTGAGTTTATGAAAATATGTTACAATATTTTATGAGGTTTGTTTCAAATTTTGAGTTATGTGGTAGCATCATAGAAATTAGAATAATAAACTTGAACATTCCTCAGGACATAAATGAATGAAGTTTAACGCCGGACAGTTTTACGACTTGAATGTCTTCGAAAGCTTTTCACAAAATTCAACGATATCAAAAAATTCTTTCTTTTCTTTTTGGTCAACCGTTTAGTTTTGACCTCCTTTCCCAGGAGCACGCATTTCTGATATCCAAAACCAATACCAATACGCAGTCCTCAATCACCCATGCGGCTGATTTTGAAAATATGACGTCGGTGTGGTTGCAAATGTATCGATTTTGCACCGCAGATAATCAAGGCTCGGGAAATCCTCATCATCATCATTCTCTGCAAAAATTTCGGTAGTCATCGAAATCCAACCCCGTCAAAATAACACCAAAATGTCAGGAAGTGACGAGAACGTATACTGTACTTCGAAGATCGCACGGCGTATTGAAACGCCGTGACTGAAAGGCCTGACACGAACAAATTATCGGGTAAACATTTGGGAAGGAAGTGGCGGAAATTGTCTCCTGTTGACGAAGGTTGAGAAATTGGAAGTTTAGTGGCAGAAATGCAACAGTTGTGGGCGAGAAAATTAATGTACGTGGGAATGAAACGGGCCTAATTCCCGTATGGAATTCTGATGACAACCGAATCATTTACTCCGACTCTTATAGATACGTAGACACAAAAAAAGAATCATCCGTTACCTAGAAGGAGCACATTATATGTTGTGTTCTGAAAATTTTCAGGGAAGTATTTGTGCTTAAAGCAAATGGATCTCGTGTTCTTGATTCGCTGGTAATTTATCGATGATTTTACGCTTGAGCAAATTTTTTAACAATTCGCGGACTTGATTCCACTATAGAAATACATGTTTTTATTCTGGTCTGGGATGCCTCGGAGAAAAAAACGGGTGCTTCTGTTAAAACCTACAATATTTTCATATGTAAATTAGGAAAACGTCTTCCTCATTATGCGTCTTGGTTATATACGTGACTCATAAAATTAAAATAAAGTCATGCGTATAATTTTCGGAATACTCCATTAAATTTTTCATGAAATTTGATAACGCTTACAACACTCAAATTCACGAAATTAAATAAAATTACATGATTTTTTCACGTGCATGCATCAGTTATAAAATGTGACGAAGTACCTTCACAGTCATAAATGTACATACAGTACTGCATAAACTAAAACGAGAGACATTTTAGTTCATTTGCTATGGAATAATCGCAAAAGACTTTCATCAAAATATAATGCTTACAGAGTGGCAAATTTTTTCCGAAACCTTGAAGATTTGTATATTGATCTGATGCTTTCTCGTCCAAAAGTTAGTCGTTTTCAACGATTTTCAAAATTATTATGAATAAAATTGAATTTCCTGTGAACTGGACATACTTGATGGTCATGACCCATGGCCAATAAGTCAAGGAAGAACCAAAAGATTCTCAAAGTCGGGTCACTTGAAAACCGAGGATCGAAAATTTTCAATGATTATAATTCCACAGAACAGCCACGAACCAACGCTTATATTAGATCAGTTGATGATTTTCTTTTGAAAGCATGCGTTTTGTTTTTTGCTTCGAAAACAAGTACAAAATTTAGTATAGATCATGATGACCTCATGATGCGACTGTTTTTGCAAGCAGAGTTTAATCCTCCAAAACCAGGTCAGTCGGGTCATACCTGAAAACCAAGAATCATAAAATCTCGCTCGCTTGTTTTTCACAGATTAATTCTACAGAACAGCTATATTCCAACGCTTATATTAGATCAGTTGATGGTTTCGTTTTGAAAACATGCGTTTTGTTTTTCGCTTCAAAAACCAATATAAAATTTAGTATGTATCATGATGACCTCATGATATG